CGGTGACGTCGACGCGTCGACGACCGTGCGCAACGCCCAAGGAGCAATCGGTCGCGCACCGCGTGGCCAAGTTGATGAGTTGACCCAGAGAAAAAGAACGCGAAATAAGCTGAGAATGAAATCTTAGTGTGCGCCTCCTGGTGCGCCTCGGGCTCCACATCGACTGCACCAATAAGTACTATAGCTCGCAGCAGTCGGCTGGGGCGGCATGGAAAGAAGCGGACCAGGATCGCTCGCGACTGCACACGAGACTCTACGGTGGGTGTTCCCGCGTTCTTTGCCCTTCCGGCAAGCACTCTCCTCTCTGCAGAAGACCTGCTGCGTCTGCACACAGCCTCCATTATCGCGCCATGTACGTACTCTTCACTGCGCGTTCTATCTCGCGGTGCAGCAACATGTCCATTTTCAAAGACACGGCCTTGCCGCCCTCGCTCGACTTGTGTATGGAACCAGGCCGAGGAGAGTCTGTCGCGAGAGAGTGAGAGTGCACCGTCGTGTTGAAGTTGCGTGTGCGACAAGTGGCCGAATGCACAATCTGCGAAGTGAGCGCGCTCGCCTCTCCGCCGCTTTGGCACCAGTCACTCGAGCGTTCATTTTTGGTTTTGGTTTTGGTTCTCATGTTGGTTGACGCTTCTTCGCCCCGCAGCACCACATCTTCTTCTTCGTCGTCGTCGTCGTCGTCTACGAGCTCGCCGGCCGGGTCCTCGCTTCCGTCTTCCCCGGACTCGAACGGAACACAGTCCGGGGAAGGGCGCGGGACGTGGACAAAGGAGGAGCATGAGCGGTTCCTGAGCGCGATCGAGATGTACCCGAACGGCCCTTGGAAGGCCATCGCCGAGGTCGTCCACACCCGGACGATCCGCCAGACGCAGACGCACGCCCAGAAATACAGAGAGAAGCTGGCGCGCCGCAACCGAGGGTTGCGCGCCAAGACGCTCGTGCAGGACGACGTCGCCCTGTACCCGCACCCGTACTTTGCGGCGCCGATCGGAGGAGGGTCCACCATGATGACCTTCGTGCCGTCGTACCCCGAGTCGATGGACTTTATCATCTCGGTGCTCGAGAAGGAGTTTTGCCTATGAGCAGAGCACTGGGACCAACTCGGTGGTGGTCCAGGTTTATTTACTATGTCGTTCCCCATATTTAAAGAGGTAGAGCCTCGCCCGTACAGCGTTATCATCTCTTTTGTGTCTTCTCGTGTTACTCCCCTCCCACTAAAAACTACTAGTAGTCGTTTAGTCGCGTGGACTTTGTAACCGAGCGAAACTGGCATGGACGCGCGGGCCTCGCAGCTCCTCGAGCCCGTCCGCGTGCCACCCAAGCTCTTGGACCGCGTCGAGAAGGCGCAGAAGCGGCTCCTCAACAAGGACGGTGCGCGCTTCTCCATATCTCGTAGGCCAAGTGGCAGACGCGATCGTAGCGTACTTTTTCGACTCGAAGCCGTCGGTCGCGAGCCCGAATCACGCGCGCAAGCACCTCCCGGACGTCGTCCTGCGCAACAAGATGATGGCGTTCGAGGCGAAATGGAAGTGCAAATCGAAGACGAGTCTCTACTACGACCCGCTCGACACGTCGTTGGACCGCCTCAGCGTCGAGGAGCGCGACCTTGTCATGAACCGGATTCAAACCAAGGTCGAGGAAATCACCGAGTCGGTCGAGGCCAAGTACCGGCGCAAGCAGGCCGCTCTCGACACACAGGTAGTCGGAATCGGACTGCAAGCATCGAGTTGATATGCATTAGGGTGTCTTCGACCACGACGTGAACGCCCGCCGGGTGCAGACCATGTGCTTGGTCGAGCTCCAGCGCAAGTGCAACATCGATCGCATCAAGGAGGTGGTCCTCGACGAATTTGAGATGGAGCGCAATCCGTACGCACTCCGCATAACAACGACGCAAGCAACGATGTGACGATAGACTCGCGGTCAAGGGCAAGCCCCGGCACCCATCGCTCAACGTCCTCAACGTCTTCTTCAAGAAGGCAGAAAAGGCCGAAATGATGGCCGGCCCGAAGAAGCTCCAGCGACTCCTTCGCAAGCCGCGCGAGGCTGAGCCCGTCCAGCCGCCAGAGAGCAGTGGCAACCAAACAGCTGATGCTGCCGAGACTGCCGCCAAGGCGCCGCCGGTCATCAAGCCCGAGCCGTTCAAGCCACGCGCCGACGAGCTCAGCGAGCGCCAAGTCCTGCTGAGCCGACACGCGCCGGTGGTCGGTATCATCCACGCGCTGCGCGCGAATGAGGCGGCGGCAAAGCGTCCAAAGCGACGTCAACTGCGCGCGGGCGACGACGCGGCTGCCAAGCCCGTGACGGCTACGGACGAGTGGACAGTACCCATGGAGTCGCCTCGACGGTCTGCGCTGACGCCGACGCTAGGAACGTCCGCGCGTCTTTCAGGCGCTCGGCGCTCGTTGCGCCATGGAGCTGCACCGGCGAAGTGAGAAGCGGCTCTGGGACTTTACCGCGCCACCGATCGACTACGCGGAGGTCGTCGCGCACCTCGCCCCGTTCGTCGACGCGTGGCGGCGCCTGTGCGAGATCCAACGTATTACTTTTTTCAAGCATTGAGCATCGGGCGTAGGCATCTGCAGGCGCACGACGAGGACAACGCCGCGTCCGAAGACGACACCAAGTACGTGCTCGCACTGCGCATTTGACCTGCACCTGCTTCGTTCGCAGGCTCGCTCGCCTGACGGAGCGACGCCGGCGACACGATCAAAACTACCACCTGTGCCAAGACGCCATCAAGACGCGTCTCCGTCGCCACCACGTGACATCGACCGCCGCTCTGCCATCGACCCCAACGATCGAGTTGGCAAATCAGCTCGAATCCAACGCGCGCGCTAAGCACGATGGGTAGGGCGGCGCCGACCGAGCTGGAGCGGAACCCGTTGCAGCAGTACCGCGCAGCGCTTCTGGCGTCGCGCCCGAGCACGATCCTCGACGTCCGGCTCAACCAGCTCGTGCACCGCAAGGTATACTCGTACTTGAGCGCGCGCCGTAATGTGACCTAGCTCGAGCGGAACTCGTCTGCGACGCGGCGTCGACCAGCGACCAAGACGACCAAGACGACCAAAACGACGACGACGACGACGACGACATCCAAGCCGGCTGTCGGCCGTCGCATCGAGGCGCGGTTGGCCAAGCGGCGGGAAGGCGCCATGACGTGGGAGTGGCACATGACCGAGCGCGCAGCCAGCAACAGTGCGACCGAAGTGTTGCCGCCGACGCCGCGCCTCGGAGCGGTACCCGTCGATGCCGGCGAGTCGACTGCGTCGGCGTCACCGACCAAGCTGCAGCGCACAATGACCATGAAGCATACGACGTCGGACGGCCGTGCGTCGCTCCAGGCACGCCTCGAGCTCGTACGTCGATTTTTTCAACCGGAATCTGAATCTGAATCATCTGTAGGTGTGGGCCCGATTGGACGTGCCGTACCACCTCAAACTCGCTATGATGGAGAAGTATGCAATGCAGGACGAGCCTGAAGTCTTCTCGACCGCGCTCGGGCTCTGGGAAGACGCCGCCGAGGTCGTCGTCCTGCGCGAGCAGATCCTCACGGTACGTCGTCGTACGCCACCTGTATACCACGAATGTCGCTAGCTACTGCGGTCGGTGCACCAAGGCTGGCTGCGCAATGAGTTCCAAGAGCACATGGACCGTCTCGACGCCGATGCGCTGCACCGCGTCGGCATTGCGCTGCCACTCGAGTGGTCGCCCCTCGTGTTCGAGACCTGGGTACCGGCTTTATGTTATTGGAGCTCATAGCGATGATGTATTAGGCACAAGCGGCTCTGCCGCTCATCACGGAAGAATGCCACGCACGGGCGGACCGGCTGCATCTCGAGACGGCCGACGAGCTCACGTACCAAGGCCACGCGTATCGTCCGGCGCTATAGCCGCGCGGTGCTACGAACTGCTCCATAAAATGTACTGTGATCGAGTTGATTACGTCTCGGCGACCAGCTTGGTGAGTCGGATCTGTGTGATCTTGGCCTGCTCCTGGGCCGCGACAACGAGCTCGGACGCGGGCGCGTGGCGCAGACGCGTCTGCACGATGGCCAGCATCTCGCCCGCCGACTTGCCCGTCGCGCAGACGATGTAGATGTAGCCAAACTTGGCCTACGACCATGACTGCCGTTGGGTGTACAGGACCACGCGCGCACCTTGTACGCTTGGTTGCACGCGCTGAGCTCGTCCAGCGTCGAGGCCGCGGCTTGCGCTGCCCCGCTCTGTTCCTGCGCCTCCCACGTCGAGATCGTCTGCGTCTTCGTGCCGATCTAAGCGCGATGCTCAGCCAATGTTCAAGCAGCATATCCTCCTCACCTCGGGATGCGCCGCAAAGGCTTCGAGCCAGTCGGCGCGCTCGAGCTGGGCGTCGGCTCCTGGCCTTGGCCAAAAGGTCGTCGAGAGACGCGAACGGTCGCTGGGCGAGCATGAGCTCCACCCATCGGTGCGAGCCGCAGCAGTGCAGTAGCTTGGTCCGCCACTCGTCGCTCGACCACGACGCTTCGGTGGCCATCGCACGATCAGATTGAAGTTTGGCTTCGCAATCCGGATGATATGCAAGGTGCACCTCTCGGTCGCTAGATGTTAGGGTCGTTATAATCATTCTAACGTGGTTATGTCAAAACGTCGCTGGTCTTTCGAACGGCCATTCTGTAAACGCTCTTTTGCCGAAGAACTCAAGGAAAGCTGCTGGATATCACAGACGTGACGAAGATATGCCTATCGACAGACGGTGGCGCAGGAGGCTGTCAAAGGCAACGCCAGGCATGCGAGCAAGCGTTGGCGGCCTCTCCGTAACGTTTTGACAACAGCGTTATAACACGTATCTAACATGTACTTGGTGTGTCAAGTGTTACGCGGCCTCAAGATTCATTCCGGATACAGAACAGCAGTGTCGGGCTCATCCGGATAATAGACGCATGCACCCGGATAACGAGCCAATCAAACGAGCTCGACCCACGTGGCGACTGTGGCGTCGGGACGATCCCGCCGGACGATCGCCACTGCTCATTGTTCAAAATGCTTCGCCTGACCGCCACCCGCCTTTGCCGCGCCCCGCTCGCCGCCCGCACCTTCAGCTCCGGTGCGCAGCGCGTGCCAAGTCGCTAGCTAACGTCCTGTGTAGGCAGCTGGGAATACATCAAGACCGACGTCAACGGCAAGGTGGGCATCATCCAGCTCAACCGCCCCAAGGCGCTCAACGCGCTCTGCGACGGCTTGATGCAAGAGGTCAACAAGGCCGCCCATGCCTTCGACAAGGACGAGAACATCTCGGCCATCATCCTCACGGGCAGCGACAAGGCCTTTGCTGGTACGCTCCGCCGCATCCAAGATATCATCGCATGACGATGGCTACGTGTAGCTGGCGCGGACATCAAGGAGATGGCGACGCGCGAGTTCATCGACGTGTACAACTCGACGATGTTTGCCAACTGGGGTGACATCACCAAGGTGCATAAGCCGGTCATCGCGGCCGTCAACGGCTTCGCGCTCGGCGGCGGCTGCGAGCTCGCCATGATGTGCGACTTCATCATCGCCGGCGACAAGGCCAAGTTTGGCCAGCCCGAGATCAAGCTCGGCACGATCCCCGGCGTCGGCGGTACGCAGCGCCTCATCCGCGCCATTGGCAAGTCCAAGGCCATGCACTTGGTGCTCACGGGCGACATGATTGACGCGCAGCAGGCCGAACGCGACGGCCTCGTGGCCAAGGTCGTGCCGGCGGAGAAGCTCATGGAAGAGGCGCTCGCGATTGCCAACAAGATTGCGTCGCACTCGCGCCCGATCACGCGCATGGCCAAGGAGGCGGTCAACGCGTCGTACGAGATGTCGCTGCAGGAAGGTCTCAAGTACGAAGGCCGCCTCTTCTACGCGACGTTTGCGACGCACGACCAGAAGGAAGGCATGGACGCCTTTGTCAACAAGCGCGCGCCGACGTTCAAGCACAAGTAAATCGTCGTTTGGGATGCGTTAATGATACACCAGTACTTGTTTCTCCTGTGACGTCACGTGTAGTGCAGAGGTTGAGGGGTTGATCCTCGCTCTAGTCGACACTAATATCAACGGTCAACAACCAGTATATGACCCTTGCCAATGTGCACGTTAAGGGCAATTCCTTTGTTGTACAGCATTTGGCAATCGAGCTCTGCTCAGCTGAGCACAGTTGACTCGCACTTCATACAGGGCGTTGTCGCACAGGAGCCGGCGATGAGGAACTACCCGCGCTTCCTCAGTTGTCACGGCGGCATCACCAACACTTGCTCAACGCATAACTAGAGCACGTGTACCTGGACGCTAAGTCCCTTCATCTGGGCTCGTACCTTGAGCGGTCGACTTAATTGAGCTAGAGCACAGCCGTGTAGAGTTCAGTCTCCATGCTATGGCCTCACCCAATGCAATCGAACCACATGCACGCTGCCTGTAGCTGGCTCTGAAAGAGCGAACGATTGGCCTTTTGTCTGCCGTTTGAACTAGGAAATCGCAGCTCTCTGTTGTGACGCAGAGGGCCCACCAGAGAGAGTAATTGCCATCTTCTCTCTGGCGAATGTGCCCTGTTTTGGGCGGTGGACTAAGCGTGTTGCGACCGACGGCAGCGGCGAGACTTGGTCGTCTCAAAGGCCAGGCGTGTGTACGATGGTACGATGGTGCGCAGACCGGGACGAGGTGGTCGCGAAGCCAGTCGTCGTGGCGCAGGACGTTCATCATTTGGAAGAGAACCTAGCGTTAGTGTTGTCCTAGGGAGTCGAGTCGAGCAATCCTTGGTGCAGCTAAAGCGCGTGCTCGATCCAAGGCCGTGACGACCGCTCGTCCTCCGGCGTGTACAACGCCGAATTGTTGCGTGAACAAAATCCAGCTACCGGTAGCCGTTCGCCCAAGTATCCTGCCACACTAAAGACGTCCTTCGTTGCTCGTGCCGGTGATTGATGGCATGCCTGTCTGTGAACGATGTACATTTTCCTGGCTCGCACTAATCTCGCAACGACGAGAACGCACCGGGTACCTTCCGAAGCTTCTAGATCCCTCTCCGATGGGTATCTTGGGTGGCAACGCTGGCGAGCGCCACGGACATGAGTTCGGAACGCGCCGAGTGATTGTGGCGGCCGCAGCGAACCCGACTTGGTTGCACGGACGCGGACGAGAGCCACAAACAAGGGGTAGAGGAGGAGGGCAGTGCGCTTGGCGCAGATATTGCATAAGGCTGTCGCAGGTTCGAGGCGACAAGCGTTTACAGGAGGTCCTGTGCATAAAAAACTACCATTTTTCCATTTTTTCCTACTGAAAACAAGAAAACATATGCAATGCAAGCAGCACATCCTAGGCTGGTCGTTGTCTCGTCGGCGTTACGAACGTTGATAGTGTTATAACACCCCTTGCGACGCGTGCGGGATTTCGTCCTCGCACAACCACAACCACCGCGTTGCGCGCGACCTGGCGCAATGCTACGAAGACAGGAACTTTAACGCTCTGCGCGCCTGCATTCACCGTCGCCGCTTGTCCGCGTTGCGCGGCCGCAACACGAACACGACGCCTCTCGCAGCTGTATCGACCGAACACATCTTCCTCTTTGCCCCGTCTTTCTCGGAACGCAACTGCGTACGACGAGTCGCTTCGCACCCAAAGCTCGTCTCGCGCTCATCCTTGGTGCTCGTGGTGGTAGTCTACTCAACAAGCTCAAGCATCCACGAGCCTCCTACAAGTCGCGCCAAAACCTCTCGTACTTTCTCGGCAGAGGCGTGTTATAACACTTTGCACTTGGGTGCGAAGTAATAGCCAGCGCCATCTATACACTTGCAGGAGCAGCCAGATGGCAGGGCTATAACACGCACGGCCCGCGCCGATTGGTCGTCCAATGAGCGCGAGCGAGCCCGATCTTGTGACTCACACGCAGCGTACCAAGCCGGAGTTTGGCCACTCTCGTTCTTCTTGGCTGCTCCGAACGTCACCTTCCACTCGTACAGTATTACTTGGTAGACCGTGCGTAATGGCCAGCCACGACTACGCCGAGCTTCTGACACCGTATTCCGAGAAAGGCGAGCTCATGGTCACGGAGGAGAAAGGCGACGTCATCATGGTGTCGACGCCGAGCCAGCGCGCGTCGACGCCCGGCCACGGCAAGTTCAGCCTCCTCCACGACAAGACGCAGCAGCAGATCGACGGCGCGCCTCGCCCGTCGCTGTTTGCGCCGCCGGTCCAGCGCCGCGCCGCCAACTACGTCGAGGACCCGACGCCGCTGATCCTCAAGGCCTGCGAGGCGCCGGTCGGCCGGTCGCTCGCCGAGACGTTCAAGCTCAAGAAGGCCAAGGACTACACCGTGCACCAGTTTGGCCTGATCCAAGCGCGCGTCGGCATGCACCCGCGCACGCTCAAGTTTGATCCCGAGTACGAGTCCGACTACCTCGAGTACGCCCAGGTCTCGTCCGTCCTCCGCGTCCGCCTCACGTTCTTTGTCGGTCTCATCTTCATCGGCGCGCTCCTCGCGTACGAGGCCAACCAAGATCTCTTCATGCGCCGCGCTGGCATCACTGGCGACGCCGGTGTCCTCCCAGACACGAACCGGCTCGTGCTCTACATTCTCTCGTTCGGTATCTCGGTGCCCGCCTTCTTTGTCGGCTTCCTCCTCACTTTCTTCGAGTCCATGCACAAGCGCATCGAGCGCATCACGTTTGCCGTCTTTTTCATCGTCGCCATGACGCTCATCTTCAAGAAGCCCGTCCAGGCGCAGACCGGCCCGGTGCTGCCGCTCATGATTCTCATCATCCCGATCTTTGGCATCACCCGCATGCGCTTCCTGCACAGCTGC